TCACCTAAAATGCAAACAAAACTTCTCTTCCTTTCCCAGAATCACATGCTCAACTTTTTCCATTTCTGTTAATACTATTTTCTCAATTCCATGTAGTTTCCAACCTTAAGAATTATCTGACATTTTTTCCTCCCATGCCCATCATTCATCAATCATTGCTTCCTCCATCACATCATCTAATGCATGCTTTTGTTACAATGGCCTTCCGGGTGCGCCAGTTTCACACTTAAATCTCTAAACACTGTTTTCCTATTATTCCCGTCTAGGAACTTCACCGCCCCATCTGATCAAACACATGCTCCTGTTATCAACACACCCTGCCTAAATCACCTCTTTTTTAAAATCCCTAATTCTTCCCATAAGATACCCCCAATCTAATTAGGCTGGGTGTCTCCATGTGTCAGCCTAATTCCTTCCTTCTTTCATGAAGTTCCTTCTGTTTCCTGACCTTTTTTTTTTTTTTTTTTAAAGATTTTATTTATTTTATTTTTTTCCCCCCAAAGCCCCAGTGGATAGTTGTGTGTCGTAGCTGCACATCCTTCTAGTTGCTGCATGTGGGACTCGGCCCCAGGATGAACGGAGAAGTGGTGCCTCGATGTGCACCCGGGATCCGAACCCGGGCCGCCAGCATCGCAGTGCGCGCACTTAACCACCAAGCCACAGGGCCGGCCATGTTTCCTGACCTTATAACCAGTGACTAGCTAATGCCACCTTATACTGATCTTTTCAGCTACAAATTCTTAGATCTTAATCAAAATTGCTTTTATGTGACTGAAAAGCTAACGTGGGGGAAATCTAACAGACAAGAATTTATTATCCCCTTCCAAGTTGTTGACGGGTTCCAAGTGTCTTTGCAGTTCATCCAGTAAAGCAAATTATTAGAGGACTTGAGCTGAAATGATCTCAACCTGCACTTGTTTCAGAAATGCTGTGACTGCACAAAACATTTCTGGGAGTCCTTCACAGATAGTTTATGAGTCATATTTAAATGATTCATTTCTTCAAAATTACTTTTTTAAAAAAAGCTGAAGCGTTAACCAACTTTATCATGCATCTATTTTCCAGATTTTTGTCCCAGATTACTTCTGGAATTCCCCCAAGGTCCCATTCTTAGCCTTCTTCCTGTTCTCTCCTTTAGTGTTTGCATTCATTCCTAGGATTTCTTGATCAGCTTTGGGCTGATAACTCCCAAATCCACATCTTTAACCCTAACTTCTTGCTCGTAAGCTCTAGACCCACATTTCCATTTAATGGCTAAACACCTCTATTTAGAAGCACTTCCAACCCAGTGTTCCCCAAATGAACTCATTACTTCACCCCTGAAACCTGCTCATCCTCTTCTCCTCCCTGTTCGGGTTAATGACACTACCTTCTTAGTCACAGACTAGAAACCTCTTTCCATGACTCATCTTTGGTCACGTGCCCCTTGTTACGTGCAGCAGTTAGGAACTCAAGCTCTGGGATGACTTTCTGGGTTCAAATCCCAGTTCTGATTATTAGTTATGTGAATTTTGTGCTTTGTCTGTTTCCCCACATAGATAATGGAGATGATAATAGTGCCTTTTTGTAAAGTTCTTGGGATGACTAGATAGTTCATATTTAGAATAGTGCCGGACAGTAAATGCTCAACCTGGCTGTTCCCCACTGTCCTCACTGCCAGTATCTAATCCTGTTCAGAACTCAGCTCCAGTGATTCTTCTGAGAAGTCTTCCCTCCCGCACCCCACCAGGTAGGTAGTTGACTTCTTTCCTCCTCATTGTTCCATTGTACTTAGTCCACATCTATTAGCAATGTACTATTCTATAGTATTTCCCATTATTTGTTCAAGTGTATGTTAGCTAGTAAGCTGCAAATTCCTTTAAAGACTTGTTTCTCAATTATTTGTGTGCCTAGCACCACATCTGGCACATGACAGGTAGGTATAAATGTTGGCTGAGTGAATCTAGTCAGTTACTAAGGCCTGTCAATTTCTCCTTCCTGATGTCTTTTGCTCTTTCCTGCTCTATTTCAAGCTCTAATCCTCTCTTGCATGAATTACTGCAATGCTTACTAATATTGTCACCAATTTTTCAGTCTTCCCATTGCCACCAGAATCATGAATTGGAAGTCATTCCTCTTCTTAAAAACTTACCTGTAAAATTAAAGTCCAAATTCCTTGCCATGTATTCAAAGCCTTCCAAGAATGGGCCCCAAATTATTTCTAGTCTTAGCTTCCATTACTTCCTTCAACAAACTCTGTGCTCCAAATTACACTAGTCTCTTCTTTTTTCAACATACCCTTCACCTCTGCTTGTTTTTATTCATGCTATCATCTCAGCCTAAAACAGAGGTTGCACACTGGTGAACCCTTGATTTTGTTTGTTTGTTTTTGGCCCACAAGCATTCTTTTTTTTTAATTGAGCCAACATTTAAAAGTTGTGACATTGAGCATAAACATTAGGATGTCCAAAGGTTCTTGAGAAATAAGATTTGGCAATATTGGGCCTCTGTTCTTGAATAGCAGCAACCAGCTGGAGCTGCTCTGCCAGCTGCCCCCTTCTCTCGGGGCACGTATTCGTCACCTAGCCAGCTTTAAAAAACTCTCTCAACAACACAAGTGTACAGTAAAGAGATAAGGCTGATGGTGGGACAACTGGGCCTATCTCTGATGTTACACAACATAAAGAACCTCTCTCCTGTGATGTCTTCTATCCCCAGAACTGTTTGACTTGAATCTCTCTGAGTCTAGATCTAATTCTGTTTAGTAAAAATATGGGCTAGAGAAACAAAGGACACTGTGAAGCAGCAGTCAGTGAAATCCAAAAGACCACTCTCCAGGACAGCTGGCCCAATATCCTCAACCAATTAGTGAAACCAAAAAAAATGCTGTTCCAGGAATCCAGAGTAAGAGAGTAAAAGAGTTGAGACACATAACCTGGTGTAATGTGTGGTTCCTGGTTTGGATCCAGGGTTGGATAAAAATTAGCTCTAAAAGTACTTGTCTTGGGACAACTGGGGAAACATGAATACAGGTTTGTATTAGATTAAGGATTGTTAATTTTTTTTTAAAATGAGACTTTTATTGTTTTTTTTTTTTTTTTTTTTTTTTTTTTTTTGGTGAGGAAGATCAGCCCTGAGCTAACATCTGCCAATCCTCCTGTTTTTGCTGAGGAAGTCTGGCCCTGGGCTAACATCCGTGCCCATCTTCCTCCACTTTACATGGGACGCCGCCATAGCATGGCCTGACAAGCGGTGTGTTGGTGCGCGCCCAGGATCTGAACCCCGGGCCGCCACAGTGGAGCGTGTGCACTTAACCGCTACACCACCAGGCCGGCCCCTAGCCTGTTAATTTTAAGCATCTGTTATTTTGACAATGTAGGAAAATGTTTTGATTTTTTCAAATGTATATATTGAAGTAAAAAATTAAAACCACCAACCCTCTCTACACTTCCCCACCCGTTCTCCTAACCTTTATTTTTATTTATTATTTTTTTTTAAAGATTTTATTTATTCAGTTTTTCCCCCCAAAGCCCCAGTAGATAGTTGTATGTCATAGGTTCACATCCTTCTAGTTGCTGTACGTGGGACTCGGCCTCACGTTGGACGGAGAAGTGGTGCCTCGGGGCGCGCCCAGGATCCGAACCCGGGCCGCCAGCATCAGAGCGCACGCACTTAACCGCTAAGCCACGGAGCCGGCCCTCTCCTAACCTTTAAAAGTCTAGGGTTGGTGAGCTTTCTGTAAAGGACCAAATAGCAAGTATGTTAGGCTTTGTGGGCCACAGTTCCGGACAACTGCTCAGCTCTGCTGTTGCAGTCTAAAAGCAGCTATAGACAATACATAAACAAATGGGCCTGGCTGTGTTCCAGTAAACCTTGGTCACAAAAGCAGGCAGCAGGATGCAAGCTGTAGTTTGCCAACCTCTGATCTAGAACAAACACCACTTCTGGAAAAGTCTTTCCTGGTACCCATCAGAATCAGCGGCTCACATGTTGCTCCTAGATCCACGTACCATACATTGATCACGTCTCATTATATACTCATCTCCATTAGGGAGCAAGTTCTTTGAGGGTAGGTGCCATTTTGCTACACGAATCCCCCATCCCCACCCTAGTGGGTTCCTTGCAGAATAGATAATGAATATTGTTTCCCCAAACCTATATTAATTCCTATATTAAAGCCTAAAAAGAAGATGTGGCACCATTCATGACATTAAAAAGAATGAGCAGCAGGTTCTGAAAGTAATTTTAAAGCAGCTTCAGGAAAAAAAAGCACGCTAGTGGTTATCACTAGAGAGCACTAGTGCCTCGTGTGCCCTACGCTGCGACGTGGCGTCACATTTTATCATCAGACCTTGTGCGTACGTGAGTGTGGTAGACTCGATGGGCACAGGAATGCCCCATGCCTCCCGCTTTTTAACCCCACTAGGGTACCTGTTAGATTTACATCAGGTGCGTGAAAAATGCTCATCAAATTTCAAATACAGTACTGGGGGAAAAGATGATTTTCTTTTTCGCATGACAGGGAGAAGGTGGCAGCAAATGCCTCTGAAAGGGTTTATCAGGGTTTGGCAACCGCAGCAGCTACAGCCGCTCCAGGTTCCCTTCCTCCTGTTTACTTTCTTGGTTAGGAGACATTGTGGGGTGGAGGTGTCCTGCCTGGGATGGAATCCCAGATGCCACAGCAAAGGTCTCGTGGGACAAGGGAGAAAGGTGCATGCCTATCTTCTGGAGAAAGTGTCCCCAACCCGTGGGAGGACATGGAATTGGGGGCAAAGGCAGACCCTGGGAAGAACACAGTTCAGCTCACTGGAGAGAAAGTGTTGGCTGCTACAGAACAGGGGACAGGAGGGATGGTGGGAGGAGGGCACACAAGTGCACACGACTCCCAGACAGACATCCTCCTACAACAGGTTAGTTCTAAGACCAGGGTAGGTTACAAAGCAAGAAGTAAGGGGAATTAAGGTGAGAGACAGGCCAAAGCAGAGGAGAAACCTTCAAAAGAAGGGGAGAGTGAGGTTGAATTAAGAATTTAGAGTTGAGTAAAAGGTTTATTATTAGTGCAGTCAACACCATGGAACAGCACATGTAACACAAGCAGCAATCCGCAGAGACACTAGTGCAAAGGGAAGGGAAGCCTTAACTGAGCTTCCTGGCTCCATGTGAGGGTGATGACAGGAGGGTATGGGCCTTGGTAAGGCGGGCAGGGGCAGGGGGAGTGGAAGAAATGCAGTAACCAGACTAAGTATAGCAGCGTTTTCAAATTCCTGAGCGCAGTGTCCTGGAGCTGGAACAAATGACTGTTCCCTACTCCCTCCACCCCAATCCCAGTGGAGCCATGACCCAGCCACCCAGACCTACAGCAAGCTGGCCTGGAATAAAACTCCAAAGAGAAGCTGTTAATATGGCCATCTCTCTTCAACCCCACTCCCACCTGCATATTAAAACAATCATACCCTCCCCTTCCCTTACTCCGCCAGTCACCCAGAGGGTCAAGGAATGCCCTGGGAAGCCTGAAATGGAGCTTAAGTCCTTAGGGGGCATGACTGAGCCAGAGCACAGGCTGTACTCAGGGACATAGAGACATAATGTCTATCCCATCTTGCCTGGTGAAGCTTAAAACCAGCTATATATCTCCAAGGAAACCAGGGGAGTAGAAATGTCTTCAAAATTAATACTCTAAATACAGAGCTTTACGACGAGACCCTGGAAGGGCTAGGAGCAAAGTTGTCTAGAGGACACAGGCATCGATGCTGAACTGTCATATCCACTGCTGGAACAGAGGGAGTTCCACCTCTCAGATGGGGTTATGCAGGGTTGGGGCAGACATAAGTTCAGCCAAGGACTCCCTGGGCCCTTCCTATATTAAAGCCAAAGGTTGTGCTGAAAAGGAAAAATATAAAACAGACCCCACCCCTGTCCCACCCTATCCAGAATCCCCACAATAGGAACAGCAAAAGAAAAGCTTTAAGTTTTGTTAATTTTTTTTCTTTTTCCTTTCTTAAAAAAAAAGGTAAATAAATTAAATTGCCAACAGTGTGGCTGGGTTGGAAAAGTGGGGTAGCCATAACCAGGCCATTCTAAAAAAAAAAAGTAGGAGGGAGGGAAATATAAACAAACAACAATGGCCAAAGGAAATTATCAAAATAGCTAGTTACAATCACAGGGCTGGAGGGGTCTATGGAACTATTATGGCCTATGCCACAAGAGGCAGTGTCCACCCGATTTCAGCAAAAGCCAGAGCTGCTTCCTGCTGAGCATATTCACCCCAACAAACTAACCCCCTACCCCCAACCCTGTCATTCCCTAATTATGAGAAAGTGTAGGAAAGAAGAGCTCATCTGGAAATTTTCGGCATCCCAACCTGCATACCTGCAGACCCAGCGGGAGCCCACACTTTCAAGGTGGGCTGAGCAGGGTATTGCTTGGCACAGAGGTCCAGTCTTCCCCTAAGGGCCATCAGTGATGGCCAGTTCATGGCCTCATTATTTACTTCTAGGGTTTTGGTTCCACCCTTACCATTTCTTCAGGATGTCTGCTCCCCAGAGCTGCCCTCTAACTGTCGTTGAGAGTCAAGAGGCCTGCCTGCTCAGATTCCCTGCTTTGGGAGGAGGGGAAAGATGAGAGATTCCTCACTCCGCCCTGATCCTCTAGAGAAAATGAGTATCTTTGTGCTTTCTGAAAATATCTGGAACCAGGGACTCTAGGCAGGAAAACAGATATAGAGGTGGGGACTTTCCCAACCAGAGTGAAAATTTACAGACATCTTAAGGGAAGAAATTAGGCAAAAGGAGGGAATCTGGGTTTCCCACCTGAAAGGCTGAGCCAGGTGCCTTGGGGCCCTTCAGTGCCACAAGAGCAGGGAGATGTGTGGCCCCAGTGTGAGCCATGGTATTCAGGAGAGTGGGGAGGACTCAGGGCCCAGCTGCTGCAGTGATGGGATTTTCTGATTTCCACCTCTTCCTCATAGACCGTCAAGATCTCTTATATCTCTTCCACGCCGTGCGCAAATATCATGACAAGGCCAGGCTCCTGGACCATGTCATCACCCATATGCTGGTTCTCACAGGCCATCACAACAACAGCCTGCTTGCCAGGGATGCGCTTGGCCACGTAGTTCTCATAGTAGCGCCGGTTCATCTGTCTTGTCTCTAGTGTGGCCAGACCCTGGGGCCAGCTACGCTCGTGGGCATTTTCGATGAGCTCGTTCACAATAGAGGCAGGACAGCCACTCTCCACCAGGGAGCGCTTGATTACCGCCTGGAGTACAGCATCTGGGGTCGAGATCATCCCTCCCCAGCGGGTCACTCTTGCCGGCTGCAGGGAGTTCACCCACCTGTGCAGAGGGGTTGGAAGTGGTCATTCCAGCGCATCCCCTTTGTCTGCATTGGCTTTTTCTCCTGAAGAACCACCACCCACTCTGCACTCAGCTTAACCCTATTCTTCCTTCTTTCCTTCCATCATTGGTTCAGAAACTCCAAATCTTTCCCTAATTGGTCCCATCGGAGTCACTACATGTTACTCACCAGATCAGGCTCCGTGAGTTTAGGGTCCCTGATATTTTTCTTAAAAATCCCAATACTTACCACACATGGTGCCTGGCACATGTAAGTGCTCCACCAGTGTTTACTGAATGAGGCGATCGTTCCTCTGTCCTGGGTCCCACACAGCCCTATTGCACTAAATGTATTGATTCACACTTACAGATTAGCTATGAACTGTACAGAACTCCAGAAATGAAAGGGATCTTAGACTTTACTTGTCTACTTCGCTTATTTTTGCTGTTCACTTTCCTGGATTTGCACTCTCTCTCTCTTCCCTGGAGTATAAGCTACCTGAAGACAAGCATGATACCTTCTATTTCTTTTTGGCTCTCCTAGTACTCCACAGCCTTTAATACAGGACTTTGTACATGTGGGTACTCACTGAATTCTGGATAAATTGCATCCTTGGGTAAGCTTTCCCTTCCACCTACTGAAAAGAAGAAGAGATCCTATCCTGGGGCTGAAGGTTACCCTCTCCTCTGCCCCTGTCCTTCATCCCAACATCTGAAAAGTGATGGCCCCAGCCCAGGCCTCTTACCACCCTCCTCCTGCCACTCCCCTGCTCATCCTCCTTTCAGGGCCTGGTGCCAGGACATGGACTGAGTGACTCCATGTCCTGAGTGACACTCACTCTAGGATCTCGTTGTATTCAATTGTCTCCTCCAGGTTCTGAAGGTTGGGGTTGACACTGCGGATTGCACGCATGTATGCCTTTAGCAGCTGGATGTCTCGCTTCTGTTGAAGGGAAGGAGAACCAGGAATGATGGTTAAGGGAGACAGCAGATGAAAGACGAAAGTTTATCTGAGAATGAAGGCAACTGAGAGATCTGAGAAAGAACCGGACTGTAAGCTTCATGAAGACAGATATGACTCTCACTCACAGCTGTATCCCCCCTTCAGAGAGAAGGCATTTGATAAATGTTCGGTGAACTGATGACACTGATGGGATGAGGGAAAGCGAGAAGAGCTCCAATCTGATTCCCTACTGAGCCACAGGCAGAGCATCCACTCACCCACACAGGCACCAGCACAGATCTGCACACTCACATGGGTGCTTGTCACGCATGCTCCCCCCATGTTCTCTGGGCCCTACCTGCTCCGCCAGCTGGTGCTTGTGTTCAGCTGACGTCTTCTCCAGCTCCGCGATGCGCGTCTGCTGCTGCTGCACCACTGAGCGCAGGTGCTTGATGCAGTTGTGGTTTGGCAGCTCATCTTTGGGCATCTCCAGGCTGCCGCCCAGGATGGAAAAGAGCAGAACAGGAGCATCAATGGGCCACGTGGGCCAAGGCAGAAAAGTGCTGAGAGGGCCTTCTCCTACCCCACATTTCTAACATTCAATCAGGCCTCCCTCCTGTCTGGTCCCTCACTTCCTTCTCCCCAGCCCCTACCTCGCCCCTCTGCTATCTCAGGGCTTCCTTCCCTCTCAGACAGTGTTTCGTCCACCTCATGGCTCTCCTCTCCTCCTACAGGTCCTGCCTGTGCACTCATTCCTTCTGAGAAGCCCTGGATTCACAGCCCTAGCTATCAGCATTTAATCAAATATTTCACACCCTAAAGAAAGAAAAAAAATAGGGCAATAGGATATATGAGAAGGCTGGAAATGAGAGCAGTCAATGTGACAAAGAGAAAGTGTCCTGGACTGAGAGGAAAGATAAAGTAAACCGGTCTTCAGTGTAATCACACAAACTGCTGAATTGCTGTCCCCCTTCTTTTACTAAAGCAAGAGCAAATGATCAGAGTTAGAAAGGCAGCACGAAAATGAGGTTTTGGCGCAGGGAGCCAGGGAGGCCAAGCACACTCCTTGCCTACATGCCCAGGAGACCTCAGCTGGCGGGCAGGGGATCCAGGGACAGGGGTATAAATGCGAAGGCCGGAATCTCACCCGCAGCCCTGTTCACAGGTCACAGGCCGTTTTGGGTTGTGCTCACAGTCACTGAGGTGAGACATGAGGTTGTCAAGCCGGACAACAGCACTGCAGCCAAACACAGCGTTGTCGCAGGCAATCTGCAGTTTTGACAACATGTTCCGCATGATCCGAGGTACTGGGCGCAGGTGTGCGACCGTCACAACACTACGGTCCACCGGACACGTCTGCTGCTGAGAGAACCACTGGGTGATGCAGGCGTTGCAGAAAGCATGCTCACAATGAGGTGCCTAGAAGGGAGGGCAGAGCAAAAGGGGCACAAGAGAATTAGCAGGAACTAAGAGCTTGGATTGGATAATGCCACAAAGCCAATCAAGCTTGGGTGGCTGCCAGGACCAGACGTCCCTGGGGTCACAGCAAAGTATAGATGCACCATGGGCAAGGCACTGTGGGGCACAGGCTTCAGATATGTGTCCTGTGCTCGAGATTCCAAATGGACTATGACATAAGACAAACAAGTAAAAAGTTATATAACAATAGAGATAGAAATAATATTCCAGGAGAATAGGAGAGATGACATAAAGCAATTATTAATTGCCAACTGGATGACACACACAATAATTGCCAAAGAAGTCCAGAGGAGGGTGAGATCTTTCCAGACCAGGTCAATCAGGGTAGGTATTTATGGAGAGGACAGAATTTGATATGGGTCTTGAAGGATTAGTAGAGAGGAGCGGGGGCAGAGATTTACTAGCACAAGTTCAGTGTAAGAAAGCAAAACAAACAAAAGCCTGGAACCCCTGGGGAGAGGTCAGGAGTCCTGGCCGTGGGGCGCACGTTCTCTTGTATGAGGGCTGACTTGAGGCGTTGCCCTGAGTCCCACTGGCCAGGCTACCCTCCAAAACAGGGCTGGTTTTTTGTAGAATCACGTTCTTTTCAGTTTCACAAACATCATATTTCAGCCTACTTCCTCACTAACTCAGGTAACCTCTAAAGGCAATCCTTCAAAGGGAGAGAACTCCTGGCCTCTAGCAGGGGACAGACACAGCAGGCACTTAGTAGACGGTGACGAATGAATGAATGACTGGAGGGCGATGTCCCAAACGCTTTGCCAGGCGCTTAAGATAAAAAAAGACATATCTGCCTTCGAAGCTCACAGACACCAAAGACTGAAACCCAGAAAAGTTTTGTAAGGAAAGGAGTCATTCTCAGTATCACTACTCCAGCTGTCAGATTTGTATTTTTCACTCAAAGACATATTCGATTCTTTTCAAAATCTTACAGACCCTATCGCCAAAAAAAATCCGAAATCTGTCTACTTTTCCCCATCTGTACTGCCACTGACCGGTTCAAGCTACCATCTTTTACCTATATTACTAAATATGTCTCTAACTGGTCTCCCTACGTCTGCCTTCCCCCTTTATAGTCCATTCTATAGTCAGCAGCCAGAGTGATCATTAAAAAATGCTCACTAGATCACACCACTCCCCTGCTCAACACCTTACAGTGGCTTCCCATCATACTAAAAATAAAGCCAAACTCCTACTCAAGAACTATAAAATTCTGCTTGATCTGGCCTGGGGCCTCTGACTTCTCACCTCACACCATGCTCCTAGCACTGTGCTCAGGCCATTCTGGCTTTCTCTCTATTCCTTGTTCACACCCAGCTCATTCCTGCCTCAAGACCTTTGCTTTTGCTGCTCTTCTTTGCTTAAAGGCTCTTCCTCTAAATCTCAGCATGACTGGCCCCTTATAATTCAGATCTCAGCTCAACTGTCACCTCTTTTGTGACCATCTGATCTAAACCTGCCACCCCTGCAGAAATATACACAATGTGCTACACTCTGTGAAGAAAAGTGGGCAAATATCTATCTATCTATATATATTCATACTTGCTTTTGTCTGCCCACATATACATTGGAAGGATACCAAATAAACTAATAAAATAGTTATCTATGGGGTATTAGGTGGACTGGGATAAGTAAGTAAGAGTTCTCACTGTATACCTTTTTATACTGTTTTGATTTCTAAGCCATATGAATTTATTACCTATTCAAAAAATAAATAAATATGATGTAGGGAAATCAGCACCCCTAACAGGGGCCTTCTACCTTTGGAAATGTGTCCGGTAACCTAGCATCACAAGGTCTGCCTGGCCTGCTCTTCAGAAGGTAAACCCTGTGGGGCTGAGGGAGGGGGGGCGGCAGCTTCTGACTTAGACAGTCACCAACCGCCACTGACTTCACGTGTGACTCACCTCAAATGATAGTGCCAGAAAACAGACAAAGCCCTGCCAGGGTGGAGAGGGAACTGACACGCCCCATGACCTCTTGACACCACCAGGATAGCTTGCTCCATACCCAGCCAGGCTGCTTCTAATGGCAGGAAGCTGCAAAGACCTAGACAGGGGATAGATTCAGGGCCAGCTGCTATGGAAATGCAGTCTGATTTTCGTTCAGCTCAGGCATCTGGTTGAAAATTAGAGTAAGAATAAACTCAAAGGATCAAGTGGAGCCCCTGGGAGGGGTATAAGCAGCGAGTGGGGGAAGGGCTGTGAGACCTCACTGACTAGTGTCCTGGTTTGGAAAATGGGATTATCTCGAGCTAGCCAGAAGTGGCAGAGGATTAATTGGTATTTACAGAGTGTGGGCCATAAGGACCATGCAGGATGATGTCCCATGAATACAACTGTTATGAATTCATCTCACTCATTATACTTGCCTATTAATCATGAACTTCTCCTCATACTTGCCCCAGAACATATAACTGACTCTGGTCTGGCAAGGCTGGTAGAGAAATGACCTATTGAAGGTGGCAGCTTTCGTATCAAAATGCAGAGTACATGGCTGCATCAAAAATTGGTTTTTCTAATAAATCCCAGGAAGAAAATAGGTTAGTACATACAGTTTCCCCCTTCCTATTTGTTAGACAGTAGGTAGGCAGAAACGACCTGCAGGGAGACTGGCTGATCACATGGAACACTACATCATCAAATGTGGAGAGAACTTATCAGGAGAGTCTAGAAGTTCAATCATGGGTAGGAAGATGGAACCCAGTCAGAGCCCCTACAGAGGAAAGGAAGTTCCCGAGCTACTGTCAGAAGACATAAACATAGACCATTTTACAGCAAAAAATCTCAGAGCAGCCTCAGAAGAAAATCTGAAGCACTGGGCTTCTGTGGCATCCACTCTAGACAGACTCTGGAAGGCCCTATTCCTCTTGTAGCCACCAAAGCTCCTCTGTACCAAACCTCTATTCTGTGTGCGTGTGTGTGGGTGTGCGCGCGCTCACATGTGCGTGTTGGGGGGTCCAGGAGAGGCAGAACACAGTGACTTCCCCATTGGTCCCATTATCTATGAATGTTTTCTATTGCCCCACCAAACCTTTCATCAGACCGACTCACCTGGACTGGCTCCTCCAAGACTCCACTGCAAATAGGACAGATAAGGTCTTCGTCAACATCCCCCTGGAAACGGGTTACATCATACCCCATGTCTCATCACTGAAACCCAGGTCCTGGAAGGAACAACAGAGGAAAAAGAGGCCAATTGAGAAGAAGCCTACAAATATGTGCCACCCTTGAACTCCTTGCCAAGATCCATTCATTTTCCCAACAATTATTTATTGAGAGCCTACTGTGTGCCAGTCATTTTCGGGAAAAAAAAAGCTGACTCAAGAAACTTAATTCTAATGGGAGAAGACATTGCATAAGCATATATTTGAACTACGAAGTGATAAATGCTTTGACAGAGTAAGCACAAGGCATCATGAGGGATGTGGATACCTAACCCAGGCTGAAAGGAGAGGGTGATTTTGAGAAGTTTTCCAGGATTAGGTGTCACCAACAGGTCAAGCAAGAGTTAGCTAGGTGCTGGGGAGGGGCCAGAGTAGGGCATTAGGGTTCTAGGCATGTGAAACAGCACATTCAAAGGCCCAGAAGTAAGAGAGCATATGATGGGTTCGGGGAACTAAGAGGCTGACCTGAAGGGTGCGAGGGAGGGAGTGTCAAGATACAAGGTTGGAGACGCCAGCAAGGGCCAGGCCCTGAGAAGTCTTATGTATGGAGTTTGGACTTTATCCGGAAGGCTATGGGAAGCCACTGAAAGACTTAAAAGGAATGATGTGATTAAAGTTTCCTTTTAGAATCACTCTGTCAACAGGGGCAAGATTGGAGACAGGAAGAACATTTAGGCAGGAGAGAGAGAGAGTCTGAACTTAGGTGGTGGCAATGGGGATAAAGAAGAAAGGAGGTTCAGGAGAGCAAGGACTCAAAGAGCAGCGAGGCTGCCATGTCCCTTTGTTGGGCTCCTAAGGGTCAACCCAAACAAGAGGTCACTGAACAGTGACTGAAACTCCCCTGTGGACATCCGACCAGTGGGCTAATTGGATCAAGGATGGGCACCTGATACACCGGCAGCCAATCCACAGACCAGCCATCAATTGTGATGTCCTGGAAACAATGACCTGAGTCAATCCGATAGTTCCCAGGAATTTAGAATGAGGCTGTCCAATTTAGAAGGGGGCTGGGGGGTGCAGAGAGGCCTTGATAAGTCAACTGCAAGCCAAAGTACAGCACTGGATTGAGTCAAAACTGCCTAGATTCATCCCCAGTTCTACTACTCTTTAGCTGTGTGACCTTGGACAGGCTACACAAACTTCCTAAGCCTGTGTGTTTTTTTTAAATAGATAAAATGGGTATAATAATAGAAGTGATTTTCACAGAGTTGTCCTCAAAGACATAATGCATATAAAACATTTAGCATAGTGCCTGCTGGTCCACAGTAGTAGGCACTCAATACATGATAGTAACCATTATTTACGTAAGATTGTAATTTCTACTACTTGATTACAAATTCCTTTTTTTTTTGAGGAAGGTCAGCCCTGAGCTAACATCCATGCCAATCTTCCTCCTTTTTTTGCTGAGGAAGACGGGCCCTGGGCTAACATCTGTGCCCATCTTCCTCCACTTTATATGGGACGCCGCCACAGCATGGCTTGACAAGCGGTGCCTCCGTGTGCACCCGGGATCCGAACCCCGGGACGCCAGCAGCTGAGCGTGCACGCTTAACCGCTACGCCACGGGACCAGCCCCTACAAATTCCTTAAGAGCAGAAACTCAAGTTCTGCATCCAATGTAGCACCAAGCACAGTTCCTTACAAACCAATAAAATGTTTGGTGTGTTTGAAGGCTGCTTTAACTGGGAGCTTCCCAGCACCCAAGGTATAGTGAACATCTACTATTTTGCCTATCTAACATCCCATTTTCTGTAAACAGCACCACAGTTTTCCTTTAGGAATCATACCCATGGGGCCGGCCTGGTGGCGCAGCGGTTAAGTGCGCAAGCTCCACTTCAGCGGCCCGGGGTTCACAGGTTCGGATCCCGGGTGCGCACTGACGCACCGCCTGTCAGGCCATGCTGTGGCGGTGTCCCATATAAAGTAGAGGAAGATGGGCACGGATGTTAGCCCAGGGCCAATCTTCCTCAGCAAAAAGAGGAGGATTGGCATCAGATGTTAGCTCAGAGCTAGTCTTCCTCACAAAAAAAAAAGAATCATACCTTGTTTCCTAGTGGACATGTGCCCAACCCAGGACAGTGAGAGTGATGCCTGGGGCTTCTACTGGAGCTCTCAGGGGAGCTCTTTCCCCTGGAGTTGCATAGCTGGTAGGATGTACAACCCGGAGTGGTTGGTGACCATCTCTGCCATTGATGAGGAGAGCCTGCTTACAGAATGAAGCCAATAAGGAAGAAAGTAGAGCTGAGAGACTCAATTCAGATGAGATCACTTGAGGTCCCAGATTTAGCCAGGCCTAAAGCCACAATCACCTTTTGAATCAGTTACGGGAGCCAATAAATTCTTTCTTATGTTTAGGCTGGTTTGAGCTGGGTTTTTGTCTCTTTCAACTGGTAAAAATCCTGATTAATACCCAAAGCTAATGGATACAAGAAATCACGAGGCTCCCTATGGAACTACTTATCCTTCTTTACCCCTTTTATATTGGAACAATAATAGCCCATGTCACTGCTACAATTACACTGACCTCCATCACCACCATTTCTCTATATATTTGTTCCTCCATCTCTAGGGCCTAAAGTTCAGGTCCTTGGGCTTACTAACAATCCCTCTGAAACTGTCACTGTGAACCACCTTGGCCTGGCTATCTCCTAGAAAATGGGGCAGGGAGGGGGACATCTACCCTATATTTGTCTCCCTTCAGACGTTTAACCTTCTGTTCCTAGGCTAACATAACAGAAAAAAATAGAAGCAAAGGATGTAATTCCCTTGAATAATCTTTAAACAGTACTGGATTAGGGTGAGTACATAAGCGATGATATTCAAGACATAATAAAGTGAAATGTGCAACCCAGAACTAAGGCCCCTTGTGATTCTCCTTGTTGCAACTCACCGAGCTGAACAATGACGATGGTGGTAAGAGAGCAAGAGCAGCCACAGTGTCTTCATTCTGTGTACCTCGACCATTGAGAGCCATAGTGGATACTCATGGTGTTGTTCACCCAGCAGCCACACTCTAGGAATCATACTCCCTTTCTCTCTCATCCACATGGCTCCAGTGGGAGGTGCCTCCCTAGTACTGTGAGACCTTACTCTCGACTACAGCTGACTGGGCCAAGGGTGAGCATGAGATTCAAGTGGGGCCAATGGATCCTATCCCTGAGAATTTGAGCTTGGCACCAAGAAAACTGAATTGGTCTTTCTCTGGCTGTCATGTGGACTGAGGAAGACAGAAATCTACAGAAGGAAAGAAAAGACTGAAATAGACACAGTGAGCAAGGCCTGGATGAGAGCTGGAAAGACTCCCGAGGCTTCAGAGTAACTGGTGTGTTCCCAAGACCCAGCTGCCTTCCTAGCTCTGGTTTCTATGGGTCACCCTAGTATCTTTTTTTGCTGAAGCTACTTTGAGTTGGGTTTCTGTACCTTACCACCAAAAGAATCCTGGCTCATACGATAGCAAAGAAATAGCATGTTAAGATCAGAAGTATGCAGAGGGAAGGATAAATTAAGAGCCATGTTTTTTTCCTTTGATCCCCAAACCTGGTTTTTAAGAGTTTAGACAAAAACCTTACTGTAAAACAATATACGTATATTCATTTAATAAACAGTTACTGAGTACCATCTATACATCAGCAAGCCTAATAAAACCTAGTCCTATGAGATAAGTGATGTGGAGTTAAGCACAAGGTACTAGAGGGACACAGAAGAGGGGGTTCTATGGGCTGGCCCCATGGCTTAGCGGTTAAGTGCGCACGCTCTGCTGCTGGTGGCCCGGGTTCGGATCCTGGGCGCGCACCGATGCACCGCTTCTCTGGCCATGCTGAGGCTGCATCCCACATACAGCAACTAGAAGGATGTGCAGCTATGACGTACAACTATCTACTGGGGCTTTGGGGGGAAAATAAATAAATAAATAAAATTATTAAAAAAAAAAAAAAAAAAGAGAAGAGGGGCTTCTAAATCAGACTGGGGGTGGTCAGAAAGACGGCCCAGAAATGCCTCTCCAGATATGTTTAGAACAGTTCTCCACCTCAGCACTATAGTCATTTTGGGCTAGAAAATTCTTTGTTGGGGGAGTTGGGACTGTCTTGTGCACCGTAGAATGCTTAGCAGCATCCCTGGTCTCTACCCACTAGAAGTTAGTAGTATTCTCCCAGTTGTGACAACCAAAAATGTCTCCAGACATTGGCAGATATCCTCTGGGGGACAAGCTCGCCCCTGGTTGAGAACCACTGGTTTAAAAAATGAGGAGCTAGCATCACAGAGTAGGGCAAGGGCCTTCTAGAACAGATAAAATAGGGTGAAACAAAGCAAGAAGTTAGCTAAGGGTTTGTGTAGTAATATGCTGGAAGGTGAGAGAGGAGGGCAGGAGCAAAGCACTGAAGGCCCTGGGACACTACACTATATCAGAATTAACCTGAAAGCTAGGGGAGTACCTGAGGATTTCTTTTGTTGACATAATTTATAGGTTTTAATTTTTGTTTGTTTGTTTGTTTTTGTTTTTTGTGAGGAAGATCAGCCCTGAGCTAACATCCGTGCTAATCCTCCTTTTTGCTGAGGAAGACCGGCTCTGAGCTAACATCTATTACCAATCCTCCTCCTTTTTTTTCCCCAAAGCCCCAGTAGATAGTTGTATGTCACAGATGCACATCCTTCTAGGTGCTGTATATGGGACGCAGCCTCAGCATGGCTGGAGAAGCGGTGCCTTAGTGCGCGCCTGGGATCCGAACCCGGGCCGCCAGCAGCGGAGCGCACGCACTTAACCGCTAAGCCACGGGGCCGGCCCTAAACTCTCATTTTAAAAGATTCAAACAATGTAACCTCTCTTCCCACCTTCCTCTCCCCTTCCATTGCTTGGTGTACATTCATTCTCTCAATTGCCCTTCTTTGCCATAACAGATTCATGCATGAGCAAGACAGACAAGGTCCCAGCTCTCGTGTAGTTCATATTCTAGTGGTAAGAGTTTCCAATCCACCAGGCTAAGCCATTAGCCATTCCCCTC